TTCTCTGTGGTTTGTAAAACCATACTGTATAATGCTGCTGTTTGCTGACATCTTGTCTGTGGTCAAAAATGTAAATGACTGATGCCTTCGCACAGCACGCACACGCAAAGCTCGGGATATGACACATGCGCGCGGTTAAGGCTAGAAGGGATACGTTTGGCGCTACTGGGTATGCGCACATCAATACAGCGTAATTTTTATCACACTGTACAACAGTAATTAGTATTTAATTGTTGCAAAGGTTAAGTTTAAGGCTGGAGTAGGTGTAGACGTTAATAAAACACAATCTAACAGGTAGAAAATTAAATTAGAAACATCTAAACTTTTCAAAACACAGCAAGTGCACCGCGGGTCATGTGACAAGAATCAACCAATCAGCTTCATCCTTTCCCGTAACAAAATTGAAAGCTAAGCCAAGAAACAGCTGATCATAGCTGTACAAGGATAGTCATTTTTTTTTAAATAAATTTAGTAGCAGAGCTACTGCAAGGGATTTTTAGTGCTGCAAATCCATTTATCCTTTGCTGAAACTTCCACGTCTTCATGGAGAGCGCAGGTCATGGTTGCTTAGCAACGGCAGACGCCACGGGAGCGCAGGCTACAGAGGGCTTTGGAAAGAAGGAGAAAGCGGCGCGCCTAGCGTTTTCCACGCATTTTCAGGCGCGACATGCAAATGTGGTTTTGTTTTGAAGGAGAAAAAAAAGCATATTGCTGGACTTGGTCGAGACCAACGAGAACATTTGGCGAGTCCAATGACCAAGTCCGAATGCAAACACCAACGAGACCGGACTCGAGTACTGCAGCCCTAGTGTCAACACAACGGGAGAGACCGTTCGAAAGGGAACACCCCGGTTACTAACGTAACCTCGGTTTACTGAGATAGGGGAACAAGCATTTCATATAGCTGCCGTGCTATAAGGCTGCACGTGAATCGATGACTATGGCTTCAGTCAAAAGATTCTGACGAAATGACGCTCAGAGTCGACTTAGATAGAGGTCGGCTCCTCCCCTTTTGGCAGGTTGAAGTGCCATTGGTTCGTGCAGCTACACGAACGTGAACAAATCAGACTTCAGCATCACAGTATACAGGAGTTTCCCCCATAAGCGTGTCAACACAACGCTCGTTCTCTTATCTCAGGGAACTGAGGTTACGTTAGTAACCAGAGCGGTTTTCACTCTGTTACAGGCTGCCAGAAGGAATCTGTCTTTACTGTGGGCTACATTGTTGCTGTTCCTTTTTGAACTACAAAATAAGTTTTAAATTCATGATTTAATGATTATTAAACTTTCGAGTCATTCTACACTGGAGCTGGAAGCAGTTGCCATGGAAACGGGGCAGCAACACGGTAACTGACAAGCAGCAAAACTCCATCTCACTGCTGTTTTCACTGCTTTCAGGTAAGTATAGTCCCTAAAATCACACAAATATGAGTGGTTTTGATAGTTTTGTAAAGGTTTTGCTGGCAATTTGTCAACGGGTGATTGAAAGTAGGCTAATTTATTTAACCTTTTTTTTAATTTTTTTTTATTGCAAACAATTCAGAGTTGACATTAATGAATAACAACTTTGCATACATTACACATACTGTATCAACACTACATCCAGTGTCATCTGAACATATGAAAGAGAAGAGAAGAAAAAAGAATTGATAATGACTGTTAAAAGAGAAAGATGCATTTAAACATCTTTTTTATGAACATAAAAGGCAGGAACAGAACAAATAAAGAAAAGAGGATTTAAAAAAAAAACACATCAAAACAAGTATTAATCACGGTACATGAAAGATCTCATCATATCTCTTCAAAAAAGAAATACATTTTTTGTTATTAATTACTCTTAGTGATTTAATTAAATGTTCTACTTCACATAAGAAATCTATAAAAGTAGGTATTTTCTTAAGAAACCTTTGTTTGTTAAAATAGAATTTTGCCACAAGGATAAGAAAGTTAACAGCAGATTCTAACGATTTGTTTTGGTTTTCAAAAAAGCAAACAACATCCTTAATGTGTAAATTACATTTCATATTAACTTTAGAAAAACAATAGGAACTCAAATCTTTCCAGAAAAGTGATGAAACATTACAAGAGAAAAATAAATGACAAATATCTTCACTTTCTTTTTTACAAAAGGTGCATATATCAGCTACATCACAAAATTTCGACACAACAGCGTTACAAGGGTATATATTATGCAAAATTTTAAAATGCACTTCTTTCACTTTATTGGGTATACAGTACTTATATGGTAATAACCATGTTTTCCTCCATTGAATGTTATCTATTTTAGAACCCCAAAAAAATTTCCCTTTTGGAGAAATTGAGTTTCGAGATTGAGAAAGTTGACGAATAAATGAATTATTACATTCTTTACTTAAAAGCGAAACACCTCCCAAACATAACTGTGAAAGTTGTTTTGAGCATGACTCATGGGTGAGGGAAGCTTTCATCAGACATATTAATCCATCAGGAATCGCCTTTATAACGGAGTTAAATTCTTTAAACGGAATGGGAAATTGATGGATATTCATAAAACATTCATAAGATAACAAATCACCATTAGAATTGAATAGATCAGCAACAAAGATTATGTTTTTATTAAACCATTTATCAAAAAAGACTGATCTATTTCTAATTTTAATATCCAAATTATTCCATAAGATGGTTTTGTGGGGGGAAAAGTTGTGGTTGTAAACCAGTTTCCAGGCGCTAATTTATTTAACCTAAATACAGTGTACTGTTAATCGGTGACATCACTTACATGGAGTGAGAAAATTGGCTAAAACATTTAAAAATATATTACAATAGAAAACAGCTATTTTAGATTTTAATAATATTTCATAATATTACTGTGTTTACTCATTTTTTTATCAAATAAATGCAGCCTTGGTGAGCAAAAGAGACTTCATGCAAAGACGTTAAAAATCTTACTGACCCCAAAATTTTGAAAGGTAGTGCAAATTACAGTTATGATGTTCCTCCCACTTGAATGATGCTGTGGCATACGTAGTCCATTCTATAGAGACTGTCTGTTCCCTGAATACTGAGAACAACTAATACATTCACTTAGGGATCTATAAAAATTCGGATTAAACCAGATAATAGCAAAATAAGCAAAAATAGGGGCAACAGCACCTGCGGTGCTTGGCCTGTAATGAGGTCACAAAACTCTGGACTATTGATAATACCGTCCGAGGATATATAAAAGTCAACTAAAGGAAGTAGAGCTTTTTTGTATTTTACTCCTAAACTTTGAAATAGCCTTCCTGATAATGTTCGGGGCTCAGACACACTCTTTTAGTTTAAATTAGAATAAAATACATATTTTTAGCCAAGTATTTACAAAACACATCTCATAACCTTGCACTCCAGTTATATGTGATGAAATAAATAATCTTTTGTCTGAAATAATGAACAGCAGTTATGCTAAACTTTCTCCTTTTGTTTTCCTGTTTCTCGGGCTCTTGGGATGCTCATTCCAAGGTTACTAGAGATTACGCCAGTTCCAGTTTGGATCCAGCCTCACTTCAGATGACGCCAATACTCACGAAGACCTCAGATGATGGCAACAGTAAATGGACATAGAAAACTGACAAATATTATCCTTATATTGCCTTTAAGGGTGAGTTTTGTTTTGTTGCAATGACTCTAATATATGTAAATTAACAATATTTACTCTTTCTTTGAGTTATGTGTATCTATATATCCCCTTTTACTTGTAAACAACAATCCACTAGATGACGCAAAATGAAATGAGATTTGATTAAATGAAAAAAGATCATCATCATAATGACAAAATGCTGTGTTTTGCAACATGCGGCAGAGTTTCGCTGACAAATAAACTGGGTATCTTGGAGAAAGATAAACATTGTTCTTTTACATATATTACCAACATTGTAACAATACAAAGTGGGTTGAAAATCGTTGAACTTACCCTTTAATAATGTTGAAGGATAGTGTTTAACTGAACACATGACTTGTATTATCTTTGAGCTACTGTCATACAGACATTACTTTGTTGCCAGATGATGTTCTTGCCCAGTGAGTCTCAGTCACCTCTGCCTGTTTAAAGGATATTTTTCAATTGTAACCTTGAAACATGCATTTTCTGTAAACCTGCTTTGAAATGATAAGTATTGTGAAAATTACTATACCTATATGACAATTAACCATGGTTTTACTTCAGTAAAACTGTATCAACCATAAGTATCCATGCTTTTTTCATTCAAACCATGGTTTTGATGCCATGGTTCTACTATAGTAATATTGTAGTAATACTAGTGTAAAACTGTGGTAACCTTGACTATAGTAACCATAGTTTCTGAAATCATGGTCAATTTTGTAGTTCTATGGTTTTCCTGCAACAGTCATAGTTAAACCATGGTTATTGTAGTAAAACTATGGTTGGTTTTGTTTTTACTATGGTTTTACTACAAATTCTGGTAAAACCATGGTTAGGTCACTTTCGATAAAAGCATCTGATAAATGTAAATGTATTTGTATATTTAATATGTTCACTGAAAATACTAATAAATTTGCAACTGTTATTGATAGTGGTGTATATTGTTTTTGATTTCTTAGTGTGTGGAAGGACATTTTGGGTAGTGTGTGGAATTGATTATGAACCGCGGACCGCAGTTGGAAAAGTGGCGGCTGCCGCGAGTGGTCTGCTAGAATAACGATGAGTAGAACGCTGGTGAACCGTACACACACAGAGCGGCCGGTATTTTACAGGTTTGCTTCGTCCGAACATCGACCGAAAAGCATTTCTGATCAGATGCCGACATCTCTGCGACATATTCTCAATTAGCAAATGCTCTCTGGGCTACATCCTGTCAACAGAACTTTGTATATCGGGTCGACATCGGCCAGACGTATGTGTGCTTTTAGGGATACAACACTATCATCATCAATTCCTTTTCATTGACTTCTAACAGACAAAGAGACTCAATAAGAATTACAAAATGATAAGGAATATTAACAAAATATGTTCAGAGTTCTGAGATTCAGCTCATCTGTTACTCTTGTCTCTTCATCAGTCAGAAGTTGAGTTTGTTGGAACGTGTGCGGCTGTCAACTCCGAGACCATCGACAGTAAGGGCCCGTGTGATGATGCCTGCTGCCAATCCTGAAAGTGTGTCAGGGAACTGCGGGCCAGCAGAGGCGATTGAGGAGAGTCCATCAAAAGAGGGCAAACCAGCAGGGTTCAGTAACAGAGAGAGATTCAGAACTGCTTTCAGAATGAAGGCCTACGCCCTGAGACAGAGCTCAGAGGGTATGACACACTCCCAAACACACACACAAACACACATCATTCACATACTCAAGATGCATTTTTAAAAGCTCAACTTCTTTAAAGTACTAAACTTTTTAACTAGTGCATACTTAGAAAAAACAGTACCAACAGACCTGTAAACACTCTCAAAGACCTGTACAGTTAATATGCATGCACAATATACATAAACACACTCTTAGCTATTTACACACTATAATAATAGATATACTTCCTTAAATACTCAAGTATAGTAAAGTCAAGTCACCTTTATCTGTACAATGCAATTAATCTAACCTTGTTTTGTTGCTTTATTATAGATACAGGTGGTTTGCCTGATCCAACTCCTGAGGAGAAGGTCTTCCCACCGGACATACTGCTGGAGGAGATGATTCCAACTCTCAAATTAGTCATAAGAGCACTGCGGTATACAAAGATTATATCATGTCTATAACCCTTAAAAATTACCTGTGATCTTTTTTCACTTTCTTTTTCTTTCTATTATTATTTTATTCATTTTATGGGTTTTTTTTTTGTCCTAAACAGTTCCAGTGTACACTGCCGTTCAAACGTTTTGGTTCACTAAGATTTTTTAAATAATTTTGTACAGCAATAAATCGAGCTTTTAATCAGCAATAAATTGATCAAAAGTAGCATTAAATACTTCTACATTTTTACAATAAAAATGTATGTTTCAAATAAATGCTGTTCTTTAGAACTTTATATTCTTCATATAATTCTGAAAAAATATATTAAGTAGCAAATATACTAAACAGCATTAACTGTTAATATGTTAACTCTTTCAACATTGATAATAATAGGAAATGTTTCTTGAGCAGCAAATCAGCATATTAGAATGATTTGTGACATTCATGACACTGCAGACTGGAGTAATGATGGCTGAAAATTCAGCTTTGCCATCACAGGAATAAACTACATTTTAAAATATATTAAAGTTGAAACAGTTATTTTAAATTGTAATATTTCACAATATTACTGTTTTTACTGTATTTTGTTACCAAATATATGCAGCCTTGGTGAGCATTACATTCACGTTTCTGCATTTAGCAGACACTTTTATCCGAATTGATGTACAAAAGACATAAATTTTTTTTTTTTAAATCTTACTGACCCCAAACTTTTGAATGGTATTGTACATACACATACACCATCATTTATATCTTAACAGATCTTTCAGCTGTTCTAAATTCAAGGTTTTACTATTTTAAAATGTTTTCCTCTTATTTTTTCTTATTTTGAAGGATCGTAATATTCCTGTTGAGTAAGAAGCGTTTTAAGGAGACTCTGAGGCCGTATGATGTAAAGGATGTGATTGAGCAGTATTCTGCAGGACACCTGGACATGCTCACCAGAATCAAATATCTACAGACACGGTAACACACACACACACACACATTGAAATATAAACATGCACATTTTTAAAGAAATATTATAGAAAACATTTAAATTACTTTATGAAAGTCAAACTTTTTTTCCATTTCAAATTGTTTACTTGCATCATTTAAACTGTACTATATAATCTTCTAATATCCTCTAATATTTGCTATTTGTTTCATCTTTAGACTAGATCTGATACTGACACCAGGACCGCCTCTCACTCCAAAACACAAGAAACCCCAGAAACCACCATTTCCATACCCCACCCAGCAGTCACCTAGGTAAATATTTTATATTTTTATTAAGTTTAAAACTATATTAATAATTTAGTATAATTTTTATCACATTTTTTAATTGCAGCGCTACAACCATTCTCATTTGAACTCTTGATTCACTCTTCCTCTCTGTTTTTCTCTCTCAGACAGGAGTCATATCTTACCAAAGTAGGCCTGCCAGATCCCGAAGACCAAAGCATGATGGGTAGATTTGTGCGGGTTGAGAGACAGGTGCTCATGCGTTCAGACAGGTTTTTGTATGGCCTAACTAAAGTTGTTTTGCTAAACTCTCATCACTTCACTCACAGGTAGAAGACATGGAGAAGAAACTGGATTTCTTGGTGGATATGCATATGCAACATGACCTCACAGGCCCCGGCCAAATGACCATGGAGCGCTGCGACCCCACGCTGACTGTCCGCCTCGCAGGCGACCGCGTGTACTGCAGCTACGGCCCACCGCTGCACAATGCACCATATTACACGTGCTCTGACGCACACCCGCCGAGACCGACTGTCCTGCCCATCAGCCCACTGCCAAGCCACTCCCCGTCCTCCAACGTCAGCCAATCGGGAGGCCGCAGGGTGGGAACGCCGCTGTCGCTGTTGTCGGTCACTCACGAGGAGCTGGAACGCTCGCCCAGCGGATTCAGCATCTCCGCTGAGAAAGAGGAGGTCATGGGCAAGGACTCAGGGTTAACGGCGGGGTCAAGCTGGGGACGCGACCGCCGATATTTAGCCGAGGGCGAGACGGATACGGACACTGATCCCTTTACCCCCAGCGGACCTGTTCCACTCTCGTCCACCGGAGATGGGTTCGGCTCCGATGGAACGTGGGGAACACCACCCTAAAAACGCACTAACACACACTCTTTATAATGACTACAGACTTTGTACAGCACAAAACGACACATAAAGACAAACATAATACTCATCATATCTAAATATGTATCCACTTAACGCTTTACCCCTGCAAAGCAAAGAGCACTGCATGGAATGCATGCGTTTTATCTGTAGTGGTAGACACTGCACTTGGCAGAACGAGACTGTGTGGTTATATTTGACTGGAAACTTTAAGGGAGGAGAACAAAACAGATGCTATGCCATTTTTGTAAGCATTTATTTTTCTATTTACACATCTTTTCGTATGCATGGACTGCATGACTCATCCACGGAGGAGCTTAATGTATCGACGTCTCCGGTTTGCACTTGCTTTCGTTTCGAATACTTCGGTTTGAGGAAGCTTCTTTCTCTGCACATCTTGAGCTCGTTTTTAAGTTCCTTTTGCAGATTGTATAAACCTTTTTACTCTGGTCAGCATGAACTGCACTCTGGGACATCTCATATTTTTCAGCGAATGCACGTCGCCACTAGCTAAGGACCAAAAGCAGAGCCTCAGTTAGGAATTCCTTAAGTGTCTGGCCTTAATCCAACCAATGAGCACACCGTCTGTGAGCGGCACAAAAACTGCCAGCTCAATGAACATTGCCACTGTACTGTGGGACCAACTTTCCCATGGTAACTACAGCTTCCTTATGGCAACCCTACATCAATCACATGGATCATTCCAGGGTAAGGGAGGGTTTGTAGTCGCTCAATTGTCAGTGGAAAATGATCAAACTTTACTCTTAGACAGCAGAATTATTTTCTAACATTGACCAGTTTACCTATCAAATTACAATAGTTAATACAGTAGTTACACTTACTGAATGTTTTACTCCAAAACAAATTCTTAGGTCTTCCAAAAGGTTTCAGCTTGAACAGATCCTGCGTAAATTCACTGTTCAAATGCGAATTTACTGTCTGTTTTTGTTGTAAAATTTATTTAGTTTGTAATGTCAGTTCTTCCCCAGGTTATTTTAGTATCTTTCATCATAGATACTACTATAGTTTTTATTAATATTTTGAATTTAGTTTTTTTTTGTGCATATTTTCCATTTTCATTTTAAAGTTTTGTGTGTTTTTTTTTAATGTTGTGATTTTTGTCTTTTTTTTGTTTTAGTTTGTAAATCAAGTTAAACTAAATTAATATGACAAAGGTTTCCTTGGCAACTAGCTGAAATAAAATAATTAAAATTTTTTTTAAGTATTTTATTTCTGTAAACATTTATTTTAAACCATTTTTTATTGTTTTAGTTTTTTGTTTTGGTTAACTATAATAACCCTGCCCCCGGTTATGGTTTCTGCATAAACCTTTAATATCTAATTATTTATTTTACAGTTCACAATGTCGAAATATAATATCACTGACTATCAAGATAAGGTTTAATATCAAGATTCAAATCAATTCAAAGTTCATTAATCTGAGGTTCAAGTCATTTGTCAAGTCCAGTGTGAATTAAGTGTAGAGCTGGTCATGTTGTTCCAGTCAGTGTTGTCATAATGTCTGTCTGCATCGTTTAACATCGTTTCACTCACCATCTCATTCACCTTGATAAGTAATTCTGACTCTAGGGACTTGATGCTCAGTAAATCTCCTTGAATTGCATACATTTTGCAACTTGCATTTATGGTTTGCGATAAATAGTACTAATATTAGTACTAATATCTGTATACCTGTAACAATAAAGACTATGAATTCAGAGAACAAAAGCCATAATATGGAAATTAACAATTACTCAATGTTATTTTTTAACATCTGTTATTTAATTTATTGATAATTTTGACTAATTTTGACAGAGGGTCGAGTAAATGACAGAATGTTAATTTTTGGGTGTACTGTCCTTTTAACTGTCCTATAATCCTGCGATCATGAGACTAAACACTGTTGTCATCATCTCACACTAAACAATGGCATTCATCCTCAAAGTTAAACTCAAATATCCATGAGCTCAAACTAAATACTGTTGTCATTACCCCAGAATAAACACTACAATCAACCTTTTATTTCACTAAGCACAGATGTCCCAACTATCCTCAACTAAACCAACTAAACTAAAAATCAGTCACAAATCATCCAATAAAATGGCCCATTATTATCTTTATACATTTTGTTTTGAACTAAAAACTGTCAATTGTTATCTCGGACCAAACAGCTGCCCATTATTATTATTCATCTGCTGTCTGAAAGTAATGACTGCTATCTGATTTTCTCTCTGACTATTGACTGCTGTCTGTTGTGATCTCAGACTACTGATGTACACAGATACACTGCTGTTTATTGTTTGTGCCTTGGCCTTTTAGAGCTCCAGTCCCTCTCTGCTGGTCATTACGTTCCCTTCATCATGAATCAAACCTGCCATCATTTTGCTTTTTAGGCCATCCATAATCGTTTTGCTCTCGGTGGCATCAGTAAAGCATCTGTTCATTTTCCTAGGACCTATTCGTTGTGTATTTTCCTTTTAAAGACCCAACAAATGATGTTTTAGTTATTTTCTTTTTGGTTTCAGATTAAATGATTTCACACTAGTGGCCTTCTAAGCTCTTATATTCATTCCAGTTTTTGAATAATAATCTTTATTTACATTCTGGTCAAGGCCAGTTTTAATATGTTAATTTGATGAGATAATATGCAAATGTTTTGACAAACTTGATTTTTTTATGTTAAATCTTCAAATTGCACCAGTTAGTAATAAAGATATATTAAAATAAACATTGCAGTTTGTTCTTGTTTAATTAGAAATCCTCAATTATGACTTTGTTTAGAGACAGATGCGGCTGCATTTAAAGTCAATATTGTTGAGGAATGTTACATTTGAAAATAACTTTAGAATAAAAAGTTACTAGTTATGCTACATTATTATTTATTATTGAATGTAACAAAGTTATTTTTGAGTAAATATATGCAATAACAATCAAAAGTTTGGGATCAGTAAGATATTTCATGTTTTGAAGATATAATATAATCTGTTTTAAAGGGGTCATATGATGTTGCTAAAAAGAACATTATTTTGTGTATTTGGTGTAATGAAATGTGTTTATGCGGTTTAAGGTAAAAAAAAACACATTATTTTCCACATACTGTACATTATTGTTTCTCCTCTATGCCCCCGCCTTTCTGAAACGCGTAGATTTTTACAAAGCTCATCGTTCTGAAAAGCGAGGTGTGCTCTGATTGGCCAGCTATACAGTGTGTTGTGATTGGCCGAATTCTTCGAACGTGTGACGGAAATGTTACGCCCCTCACCATACTGTGATGATGCCCTGTCAGGCCGGAGCGATGATTCAAAAACATGAAAACCCATTATAAACGAGGCATTCGTTGCATCCAGTGGGGACATAATTATGGATTATAATGACATATACTGTCTTTTTACGCGTTGCGTTGCATCGCGCCGCGTAAACATAAAACCATGTCTGCATTTGTGATCGGAGAAATGACAAACAACAAGCCCTACTCTACACCTCGAGTCAGCGGAGACCAGAGGCCTAGAGTGAGCGGAGTCCGGCTTGAGTGAGCAGTTTGGAAGGCCAAACAAAGTAGTTTCGCTTTCACAATGAAACACAGTCACACACGGTGGCCTAGAGTGAGCAGAGGCCGGGGACTAGAGTTAGCGGCGGCCGGCTTGAATGAGCGGCGGCCGGTGGGCTAAAGAACGGCGTGGCAGGCGGGCTTGCGGCAACCACATGTGACGACCCGGGCTGGACTCCGCTTCGTCCACGGTGAAAGCCGTTCCGGCGATCCACAGCGCAAAGTTGTAGTATTTCCTCAGCAACCAGCACGGATCAGTTCCAGGCATGACGAAGCAGATATCGTCCTCTTTTGGAAGACCAAACAAAGTAGTTTCGCTTTCACAACGAATCACACAGTGCCTTCATGGCGGCGGCATGAAGGCACTACATGGCGGCGGCAACAACAATACTACAGCGAGAATAAAAGTTACGCCTTCTTTCTTTGCGTGAATATTTGGGTGGCGTTATGCAAATTTTTCCACATAGGGAGGTAGATATGTGGGGGCGTGTTAGAACGAGCCGTTTTAGGTAGGCGTGGCTGACTCTTAACTTTTATAAAGAATATCTCTTTGGATTTGAGACTTTAGTCTTTGCAACTTTACAGATCTTCTTTATGCACCAAGAGCTTGTAACACTCCAAAGAGAAAGGAAAAATTTAAATCGCATCATGTGACCCCTTTAATATATTTCAAATGTAATTTATTCCTGTGATGGCAAAGCTGGATTTTCAGCAGTCATTACTCCAGTCTTCAGTGTCACATGATCCTTCAAAAATAATACAGATATGCTGATTTGGTGCTCAAGAAACATTTCTCATTATCAGTATTATACAGATAACAGCTTAATATGTTTGTGGAAACTGTTAAAAGATTTTTGGATGAATAGAAAGTTTAAAAAAAAGTTATTTCGAAATAGAAATACTTCAACTTTATAAATATATTTACTGTTATTTTCACTGAAGAAAGAAATATTGTGGATAAAGAATTTGTATTTTAGCCAGAAACAATAGTTTAAATTTAAAAATAAAATTATTGATGGATTGGTTTCTTACAAACACACAGTTTTTCGCTTCACAAGATGTTAACTGATGGACTGGAGTTATGTGGATTACTTGTAGATTATTGTGATGTTCTTATCAGATTTTATTATTGTTTGGACTCTCATTCTGACGGCACCCATTCACTCCAGTGGTGAGCACGTGATACAATGCTACATTTCTACAAATCTGTTCTGATGAAGAAACAAACTCTTCTACTTCTTGGTCGGCCCGAAGGAGAGTCATTTTCAGTAGATTTTCTCTCTTGGGTAAATTATTAGTGAAGTATAGTGATCCCAGGCTGTTAAATGGTAGTGTATATGGTGATATACAGTATATTAGAATTTTTTTATAAATTAAATTTTATAATTATTTTAATCGTATCTTGAAAACTTAAGTAACATGCATTGCTTGTAAAATATGACACTCAACATTACCTGTTGAACCAACATTTAGCGTCTCCTGGTCACCAAAGAACCTGCCACTGAGTTCAGAGTCCAGCAGAGTCACAATATCAGAATATAGCAGGAAATATTGTGTCGAACATAAGTAGAGGGGTTGTTGTGGGAATGGCCCCCTGCCTTGTTCTTGGTCTCCAGGACAACAGAGTTTCCCAGGCCTTGCGCTGTCCCAGAAACCATACACTGCCAAACAGAACAGAGTGCATGAGAGGAGAGGCTTTGTGTACAAGACATGTCATTTTCATATTTAAAGAGAGGCAAAAAATGTCGAATTCAGTCCTTTATGTACAGCTACATCTGTGAGAGAAAAGTGGCTATACTATAATCAGGCCAAATAAATTGAAAAATGATTTTATGGACGTTTGAAGTCATTTGAAATCACTTTTGCATAAAAACAATCACATTTCTGAAACCAATATAGTGAAACCAGCATGTGAGTTTGTATAACCGTTTGTTACATTTATCAGGAGAGAGAGAATCTATATCTGTGAGAGTTTCTTTGTGTGTGATTGTGAGTGTGAGAGAAAGAGAACGATTCTATATCTGTGAGAGTATCTGTGTGTGTGTGTGTTGGGCTGAGAGCAGGTCCTCTGTGTGTGCCAGCTGAGCTCAGGTGACACACTGGAGGGTTATTACAGCCTGTTGCCCTCTCCGGGGACCATGATGCCCTGCTGGTTCTGTGTGTGAGTGTGTGAGAGACAGCGGACAGCGAGCAGACGGCTGTCTGTGTCCTGCAGTGTCTGCGTCTCTCTTCTGCAGGTGAGTGTTTTTTTTATTGTTTAGTTCACACTCTTCCTCACGCTCTGTGTTTCAGCTCTTACTTTACATACAGTGTGAACTTTTTTTTTTTTGCTGCTCTTTAATTATTATTTTATTATTTCTACATTTTTATTTTTTTATTTTTTATGTATAGTGAAATTTTAGTTTGGATGAATAACTCTGTCTGTGGAAATTTTTAG